AACTGAATTTTCTATAGAAATAGCTTATTTAAAAAATTTAGAATTAAAATTTTATGCAAAAAAATCGTTAATAAACAATGTGAAAAAAGCAAAAAATTCGATTTTCTGATATTTTTTACTTTTTTGTCTCTAATTTTTTTTTTGGTAAAGATAGGTATAGGCATTGCTTCATAGAAAAAAAGAGTAGATAAAATTTCCTTCAAAACAAGAGGTTGTAGAGTATTTTTGGATGAAAATTGACTGATATATGTCCTCTCAAACTTAGCCAATTTTTCGATTTTCGTCGCGTTTACTCTTCCCTTATGCGTTTTAATTCTCATTTTTTGAAAAAAAGGAAGGAAATAAGACGTTTAAGGATTTTCATCACATGACTTGTTCGAAGGTACTTTAAAAATGAAAAAACCGCGGTGTGCTATTAAATTAGGGGGTTGAAATTGAGGATTGGGGTGAAAAAGCATTTTTGCAATTTTTCAAACAGAACGAAAACGAAGCAAAATTTCGGTATAGTTAATGGAAAAATTTTGTAGAGAATTGAATTTCTCATCGAAATGGCTTATTTAAAAAATGTAAAAGGAAAATTTTATGCAAAAAAATCGTTAATAAACAATTTTAAAGAAAGCAAAAAATAAGATTTTTTGATTTTTTTATAAAATAATTTAGTAAAAACTTGAGAATTTAAGTACAATAAAGTTTATTAATAGTCACCGCCCATTTCGCCCTTCCACAAATAAGATCTACTTCTTATTTGTGGAAGGGCGAAATGAGCGGTGACTATTAGACGCCTTCATTATAGCCATCTTTCTCTATCGCACGGATTTCTATGACTTTCTTTATCACTCTCACGTAACGGCGGATGAACCATGGGGACTTTCCGATCCTGTATAGGTTTTCAGCAACGAAAATTGAATAATTCCAATTATTTCGTTGCCTCATTCTTGAACAAGGTTTTTGAAGCTGTATCTCGTTTGTTAAAATTTGTTGAGAAATGATATCTGTCATTCCATTATTGGTAAACAAACATTGAGTATTGGTGCTATTTTTATTAATTATTATTAAAATCAAGATTTGATTTTTTTATTGATTACTTCTTCCTAGCATTACAAAGTTAAACGTAGTACTAGTGATTTCAATTAAGAATACCTTTTATTATTTTATAAACTTCTGTAAATCGAATATATTGAGGAAAAAAGATTTTTTTTCATTTTTGACCCCTGTGTGCTTCTTATTACATACATATTATACATATACATATTATTATTAATATTACATATTAACTTTTGCACTAAGGTAAGTTGGGTTAGATTAGCTTATTACACCCTGTATAATCGTATGTTCATAATATCCGGTCAATTCAATTGAGCTATAGTATATGCGACATAAAACAATTATTTTTTCCATTTGTTTGATAGACTAATTTAATATTAATGACTTTGATCGTTCGCTAAGGGTTATTTTGAGTTGCCTATACGGTTCTTTCGTTCGATATAAATCTCGTGGGCAAATATAGACGTTCCGTGGGTAAAAACGACTGTGCGGCCGGTGAAACCGGTAAATATATTGTTTGAACAAATGGGACATATGGCACTCCACACGATTTTTATCAATAAAGCGATTGATATTTGCGGGACATTGTAGGAACCGGGTGGAATGTTTAGCTTTAATGGAAAAAGTTGTTTGATAATTTTAATATTGTAACCAAGCTCTTGATTCAAACTAGATTAAATGTTTTTTTGTTGATAGAAATCTGGAATTATTTTTCATCAACATTAAACCGGTAACCGGTACAAAAATAGAAAATATTGCAGAAAAGTGACAATTTCTATTTACTAATTGACCTGTTTCAACAGATTTTTTAAAATCTGGACTGGAAAAAAAAATTTGTTCCATTATTTTGGGACACACTGTATATCAATTAAGTTATGTCCAAAAATAGCGTGACTGTCGCGGCGGGAGATCGTTTAAATCTATCGATAGTCGTTCCTAAAAAATATCAAATCGTGAAGAAACTCTCATGATGAACTACTATTACTTGCTGCAGTAAATGAAATTAAGTCTATGAGACATTGCGTGTTGCTAGTTTGAAACTAATACAAAATTAATTTTGTTTGTGCTCTGGTGACAGCATTTCTGGATCACCATGCGATCGCGATAAGAATTTTTAGCAGAACTCTGTTACATGAATGTTGTTTACATTGATTTTTGAGAATTATTTTAAATTGCTTGTGAGAATGTTAACATTTAACACTTTTTTGCACATGGTGCAACAGCGATGTTGCAATAAACTTTCAGGACCGGTTCCTTTCTTCACGATAACGAAAAAAAACAAGAGCTATATTTCTCCTAAGATGATTCTTAAGGGATTTACAATTTTTCAAAGAACAACCATTGGATGTACAGGGTTAAATTTAGAGAGAGAGAGAGAGAATAGAAGGGTTTCGTTTAAAGAGGCTTTAAAATAAAATTTGTATTGGTATACATTATAAATGGGATATCTGCAATGCATATTTGTAATTTTTTTTTACTGCGATCGGTAATTGCTATTAAATAAGCAGAAAAAAAACAAGTAGTTGCCAATTCATGTTCTAGTAATTGCCACTTCCACATTAAATGATAATGAACATTTAAAATTAATAAAACAATTTTATATGTAACTGTAGGGTATTATTTCTTCAAAATTTTACACCCCAATAAAAATAAAAAAGAAACTCTAGAAGCAACAGTTAAACACTAGAAACGTCTAACGAAAGAAGCACGTAACAGGTATAATGGGCTCATTCAATTATATTTAATTTATACAAGGTGTTTGGAAAAGTTGGTACAAAATTTAAGGGGGTGAAAGTAGAGCCAAAAATAGTAAAAAAAAGTTCCTATAAACATATATAACTTCCTCCAGAGCACCGTTACTGAGATATGGCCCTTCAAAGGGGTCTTATCATTTAGATATTTTTTAAAATAACTTTCTTTCTGATTAAGATAACGGAATGAATATTGTAGGTAATAATCATACCATAAGGGTCTTTAATTACCGTAAGTTTAATCAAAATCGGTTATAAATAAGGATAGTTTTGTAACTACATACTCTTAACATAAATTTTTCGAATTTTGTTTATTCCTTTGAATTATCAAGCAAATAATATTATTTTTTAATGAACTAGACTTTTTTGATGAAAAAATGTCTACTTTTTTTCCCAAATATGCATGGTTTAGTCAGAAATAACTAATTTTTAAATAATGTGTGGCTCAGAATAGTAACATTTTTAAAAATGTTTCTTAATTTTCTTTGTGCTCAACTTTGCATTTCATTCGATTTTTTTACAACCCTATACCATCATGCTTTTACTAAGCGTGAATTTTCCGAAACAATCTTGCAGAAAGTTGTCTTCTATCAGGAAAACGTTGCCGATACTCTCTTTGAGCCGTCAGACTATTTCCATTACAGAACCCATAAATAAAATGTATATCGGCATATTCACGGTTAGTTAACACACAATACAATGAAACTGTCACAATGAAAAATGCCTACTATGTAAAAATGTTTTAAAATATGTTACTGTTCTAAGCCATACATTATTTGAAAAATAATCACTGCTGACTTAACTGCGTAAAATTTGAAAAAAAGTATACATTTTTTCATCAAAAAAGCCTAATTCATTAAAAATAATATTATTTGCTTGATAATTCAAAGGAATAAAAAAAAATTGAAAATAATTTCTGTTAAGAGTAGTTACAAAACTATCCTTATTTACAACCGATTTTGATGAAACTTATGGTAGTTAAAGACCCTTATGGTATGATTATTACCTACAATTTTCATTCCGTTATCTTAATCAGAAAGAAAGATATTTTAAAAAATATCCAAAAGACCCCTTTGGAGGGCCATATCCCAGTAATGGTGCTTCGGAGGACCAATGTTTATAGGAATTTTTGTAAATATTTTTGGCTCTACTTTCATCCCCTTAAATTTTGTACCAACTCTTCCAAACACCCTGTATAAATTTTGTACTTGCCCTCTTAGACCCTTATACAGGGTGGTCCGAATTTTATGCAGGAAACTTCGAGGGCCGATAGATCTCTTTAAAATAATATGTGTTTGCCTTATAAACATAGGTCTGAAACGACACCGTTTTAGAGATACAGAGTGTTGAAGTTGTCAAAAAAAATTGATTTTTTGTTTATATCTCCGGAATCTATTAACCGATCTCAATAAAATTTGGTACATATAATGTATGATAGTAGGCCTTATATTCCCTGAAATATGAGCTTTAAAGGTTCAACCAGTGGTGTACAACTGGACAGGGGTCACACCCTTTTTTACAAAAAAACCTACGCCACTGCATTTTTTACATGTCATTGTAACTGATTTATATTTTAATGCACAAAATACGTAAAAAAGGTGACTTTAATTTTTCTCAAGTTATTCATACCAATACAATCCCCTTGTGGCAGACACTTCTAAAGATAATATTACAAGAATATTTGTTTATGTTTAAAAGTAAGTGCAATTTATGAGCACATCAACAAAATTATTTACACTCCTTTCTACAACACCTGTGAGGTAGGTAGTGTGCGATATAAACAAAAAAACATTTTTTTTTTAAATCTCAACACCCTGTATCTCCAAAATGGGGCCGTTCCAGACCTATGTTTATAAGGCAAACACATATTATTTTAAAGAGATCTATCTACCCTCGAAGTTTCCTGCATAAAATTCGGACCACCCTGTATATGTCCAATCCATTCGCAAAACATCTGTGACGTCACACCACTCGACTATTATTTATTTTGTGTATTATAGTTTGTTTTCCCCTTTTTTTTTTCAAATAAACTTTTCAACCTATGAAATAAAAAAGAAATCTTTGGCATGAAGTAGCAGTTACTGGTGCATTTACCTTCTTACCCCATGGATCGCATTTTTTTTTAAGAAAGCCACTGCGCGAGAACCAAATTAACTCGAACATAATTTAGTGGAAACTGGAAACTAATATCTCTTGTACTTCCAGGAAAAATGTCTTCGGTGGAGGTCCTGGAGCCCCCCGTCAAAACCAACAACCACAACCACAGAAACCAGATGAAGGCGACCAACAACAACAACGCCAACAAGCGGAAAAACAAGCACGACCGCAGCAGCCGGAAGAGGTCGAAGAGCTTCTCCGGCTGCGGTCTGATGATCAACCAGAAACCTGTCCTGCCCACGAAATTCCTGCTGGGTGGCAACATCAAGGACCCCCTGAACCTGAACAGCCTCCAGGACGAGGAGATCAACAGGGCAATGAACGCGGTCACGCCAAAGTCCTCTCCGGTGCCCACCCCTCCTCGGAAGAAGGGCCAACTGGAGGTCATCATTCCCAGAAACATCCACGACCCCCTGAACCTCATAGACTGCGCCGACGACGCGGAGTACGAGCAGCAGCTGTGCTCGCCCGTGAAGAAGGGGAGGAAAAAGAAGCCGAAGAAGAGGAGGACTATGTCAGGTAACCATAGACAGATTAAGAACGAGCTTGCGGCCGCGCCATTTTGATATACAGGATCGGAAAGTCCCCATGGTCCACTTCCACTTGTAATTCAGCGACCGGTGGTCATCTTTGTTTTCGTCGTTTGCCTTTTCTGTAATAGATGTCACTACTTATACAATTCCGACTTCGTATTCCGATATGTTAATACAATCCGTTAACAGAGGGCAGCACAATTTGTCTAAGGTGAGGCGCAGCCCTAGAAAGAGTGATGCCAGATCTACAGATTTTTTTGGAATTGGGGAAATAGGGAATTTTGCTTTATTTCTTGGGATTTTTAAGTC